GCATTTTCTGTTCCTTCAACCCTTCTCAGCAGTCTGCTGAAGTCTGTAGATCCCTTCTCAGAATAATATTTTTAAAGGCATATAAAATAAGAGGATTGGGGCAGAGGCTGTTGCTCAGTGGTAGAACACCTGCCTTGCTCGTGTGAAGCACTGGGTTTTATCCTCAGCACCACATAAAAATAAACAAATAAAGATATCATATCCATCTACAACTAAAAAAAATATTTTTAAAAAGCCACAGAGGATTACAAAGGAAATGGTTGATCAATAATCAAGTTATCAGAATTTTTTTTTCATATTGCTGGGGAATCAAACCTAGAGTCTCGTGTATGCTAAGCAGGTGTTGTGCCACCAAGCTATATCCCCAGCCCCAGGAGGATTTTCTAAACCTAATTCATGATATATGTGTTTTTTGCTTATATTAAATAACCAATCCAGAAGTAGATTCTGTAACTACTATAATTTTAAATGGTGGAAGAACATAAGCAGTGTTTCTAGATAGCTGCAATCACTATAATGAGTTTTATCAAGTTTTTAAAAGTATCTGGTGTGTGTGTGTGTGTGTGTGTGTGTGTGTGTGTGTGTGTGTGAGAGTGTGAGAGAGAGAGAGAGAGAGAGAGAGAGAGAGAGAGAGAGGGTTACCAGGACTGTTCACTCTACTGTACTTTATTTTATATGCTCGTACTTGAATGAAACACTAAATTCTGGAAGTTAGGGAAAATACAGATGTATTTGTTTTGCCCCATCTGAGTCCTTTCCCCCTTTCCAGCCTCAATTCTTTCAGAACCCCTGGCATAGAGCATTGGTTCTGAAAATTTCATGTCATCAACATCACCCGGTTGCTTGTTAAAATGCAGATCTTGGATTGCAGTGTAGTGCTTGTCTAGTTTGCATGAGATCATGGGTTTGATCTCCAGCACCACAAAAACAAAACAAAAAAAGTATCCAGAGAGATCCAGAGGAGGAGTTCTACAGTGAACTCAGGAGTGCACATTCCAACAAATCTGAGAAGTGCTGAGCTGCCATCTGGTGCCGCTGCCTCAAAGAACCCTCTCTGAGTTGTGCAAATCTTGGAGGCTCCAGGAGTTTAGCTGTGCTGGGGACATGAGAGAGTCTCCTCTTCAGGCTCTAGGAAGCTTTCTAGGTTCCAGGGCTCAAGGCAATGATACCAACTATTGAGGGGTCTGACTGGCTGAGGCCAGCTTCCTGGGCTACACCCTGCTCTGGTCCACTGATGCCCAAGGTTGGCTGACAGGCCCTAGGTAGAGGCGGCACTCTGCCTGGTGTCAGGTAGAGACCTCTGTGGAGCAGGAGCACTGCCAGGGCTCCTGGTTAGGAAGTAAAGGGCTGTTGCTAGTGAACCTATGAGGAGCAGATTCCAACAATACGCCCTCTTAAGTCACACCACAAGGTCAAAGCCAAGAGGGACACCCTGATCAGGTGATCAGAATTAACCTCACCAACAAGGAGCACAGGGCATCTTGGGCCAGTGTCTCCATAAGCTGAGAAGGACCAGCCTCACTCATGGTGCTCCCACAGGTGTGCAGACCCCGAGTCTAAGTGCGGAGAAATGTCAGGCAGACTCCAAACGTGGAGGGCTTTATTTAAAAAAACAGGAAAAAGGGTGCTGGGGTCTTCAAAAATGTCACTGTCATAAAAGAGAATGTGTGGAAAAGTTGCAGATGAGGGGAAGCTAGAGGCATGACAACAAATTGATCCGCACTAAAGAAGGACAAAGCTTCAAACAGCACTGTTGAGCCACTTGATGAAATGGGAATATAGAAAATAAAAGCGATGCACCAATGTTAAACGTACAGACACTGGCAAAGCCACGCTGTGGTTATGTAAGATGTCCCTTTGCTTGAGAAGTACACACTGAAGCGTTGAGCAGTAAAGGGCTATTCTTTTTTTTTTTTAAAAAACTTTATTTATTTAATTTGTTTTCATGGCGCTGAGAATCAAAACCAGAACCCAATGCCTCACACATGCTAGGCAAGTGCTCTACCACTGAGCCAGAACCCCAGCTCCCAAGGGCTATTTTTTATGCATCTGAGTCTTGAATGGTTCAGAAAAAATTGTGTGTGTGTGTGTGTGTGTGTGTGTGTGTGTGTGTGTGTAGGTGAGAGAACAAATGGCGGGTGAGACGTTTTCACAGGGGAGCCTGGTGAAGGGGATGCTCTCTGCTTTCTCATTCTCACAGCTCTCTTCACTGTTCTTATTCTTGCCACTCTTATATAAGCTTAAAAATTTTTTCCAAATAAAGATTTATACATATTTAGCTGCAGCTGTTTTTCAAAATTCAAGATAATCCAAAAAAAGCATAATAATATTAAGAAACTTTAACCTACAGTTTTATTCCCTGATAAGTTAAAAAGGCAGGAACACACAAAAAAAGACACAGAAAATGATGTAATGGCTAAAATTAAAGAGAGAAAACACCTCTGAAATGGGAACTGGCTTCAATTCCAGCTCTGCTACTGATTATCTCTGCATCCATAAGCAACATTTATTAACTTACTAAGTCTCGATTTCCTCATCAGAAAGAATGGGGTTAAAGTAGACTGTGTCTCATCAAATTGATGGTGGCAGTTCTGGAAATAATGCATAGCCTGATACTTGGCATTTAGAGCTCTTGGCAAATGTTAGTATTTCCAGAGCTATGGTAAAGGCAGGAAGTTTCTCGATTCAGTTCGTAACCCCGAGAATGTGACAGCAACACAAACACCAAAGAAGCTTCAATCCATCTCATTAACAACTATGATGCATAAATCATTTTTTAAAGCCAGCTTTCCATTAAAAGAATAATACCCCATGACCCAGTAGGGTGCATTCCAGAAGTCTAAGAATTCTTCAACACCAGAAGAACTGTTGCTATATATAACACATTACATCACTATGATTTTCCTCCATGTAACTATTCTCTCAATAGTGGCAAAAAAGAAGAAAAAGCTCTTAGTAACATTTAATATTCATTCCAGATAAAAACCTCTTTGAAAATTCAAAGTTGAAGAAAAGTTTCTCAAAATTATTGAAAAAAAAAAAAA